CAGAGGAGTAGTAAGAGTAAGAAGAAGAAGAAGAAGGGTAGGAATAATAAGCATTCCAGTTATGATTTCTTCTTCTGTTGTTGCTCTGTGAAACGCCCATCACTATTTTGCTCCACCGTTCTCCGCCACACACCACCGCAGCTCAGCTCTGTTTGGACTGTTGGGACTTTAGAGTGACAAATGCCTCTCTCTCTCTTGGGAAATAACAGTGACCTTCCTTCTGTCCTTTTCTCTCTCTTGTTTTTTTTTTTTTGAAACTTTATTTTTTTTAGGTAAGATTATTCTAATACAATTTGTCAAAGTTTGGTTGAGAAGAGTTTCTTTTTTTATGGAAAAAGACATCAAATGCATTTTGAAATTGCTTGGATAAGTTAAGTAATTGAATTTTTATTTTTTTATACACATTAAAAGTGAATTTCAAAAAATCAGATTCAAATTTAATAAATTGAGCAGAAAACATGTGTTTCTGATGATTTAACATATTATAAATAAAATAATTATCCTTCATTATATAATTATCATCTTAATATTTTAAGTTTCGATTCATTTCATTTCGCTTCACCTATAAAATCTACTTTATCTTATCGAATAAGAACTCTAAAAGATTGATTTTTGACTATTTAGATTGAATAGATAGCTTCAATATTCATCCGATTTCATAGTGTTTCATAGTTCATCCTCATCTTTATATCGTTAATCGAAGTTTCAATGGCATAATCAAAGACATTTAGTGATTTCAATCTATAAGTGCAAGATAAACATTTTTATCTCAATCTATAATTTAAGCATGTTTGATTTTAAAAAATCTAGTATGTTACAATCTATTTCACCATTTTAAAACTAAACGGAAGCCTTATATCTCATTATATTTTTTTCATGCGATTTGAGATATGATTTTTTGGTCTTTAATTTTTTTTCAATTTACAGTTTAAATAAATAATGAAGACTTTAATATGTAATAAAAGAAATTGTGAGACTTATTATTGTAGTATAGCATGAGTTTTTGGTTGTGGAATGTGTTGTTGTTTTGATCGTGGTCAAGAGTTCCGCTTTCATATAACATTGATATGCTTTTACTATTTTTTAAATTGTTAAATTGTAGTTTAAATTGATTACTTTGAGGTTTTACCATGATGAGATTGTTAAATAGGAAAACAATCGATGGAGAAATTACTAAAATTTTAGATGATGGTATAAATACATTATCCTACTTTGAATTGAAGAATAAATCTAGAATATGATGCTCAAGTGTATATTATATGTGAGAATGCCTAATAGAGGTACTTTGATAGAAATTATATCAGATAATATAATGAGAAATTGTGAATAGTTATTTATTTTCTTGATCGCATGTGACTTCTATATATATGCAGCATTGACAAATGGTTCAATAGGATCGGCTCAAGCCTAAATTTTGACATCAAGAGTCAGTTACACTCTTAAAGTTTGAGGTGTGACATAATAATTATTTAATACTTAGTATTTTCTCTCTCTGACTAGAAATGCTCTTTTATGAGGTGAGGGGTACATAATTTGCAAGAAAAAGAAGATGATGTTCTCGACTTTTTTATTAAAGTAAATGAGCATGTGTGAGAGTCGAGTTTTGAGGCTTACAGGTTACAGCAAGGTGCTTGAATTATTTCAAATGTTCTTGGCAAAACTAATTGAAAAAAGTGTTAAAAAATATTTCTCTTCTTGTGTGTAGTTTGATCAAGGACGAACAATGATTTAAGTGTGTGGGAGTGTTGATGGTAGGTCATAACATGAGTTTTTAGCTATATTTTTGCTTTATTTGTCACTTTGATTGTGGTTCAACCATAATATTTTATGTTTGATGCTTATGACGACACTTTTTAATTGTATGATTAATTTTAAAATTTTTAAAATAGTTTTGGAGCCAAAATAGAACCTTGACACCTTGAAATTTGAGTAGAGGTCAAATTAATCGAGAGAATGTCTAAGTTCGAGGAGCAAAGATGCAGGAGAAACATAAAAATCATGGCTTGAGAATTTGGCTTGGCGCGACCTAAGCCGCGACGCGTAAGGTATAATTGTGCAAGATTTTCAATCCATCTTTTCAAGGTTATTTTGGTATAAGATCATATATATATATATACACTCCAAAAAACCACGAAAAAGATGGACACACGAAGAACACAGAAAAAACAACTAATGATGGGAAACAAATTTTCACTAGTTTTATCATCTTTTTTATTCAATACGACAGTAGCAATTGAAAATTGATTGTAATTGTCATGCCTCGAGTCTGCACATTGGATGTGGCTGACACTCGATAATCATTATTGGTCCCCAAGCAAACCCTTGGTCTGGCTGACTATGACACATATGACTCAACAAAATACACAGAAGCTTTAATCTATGAGCATTTAAAGCATTTAGAGAACTTTTAAAACAACATCTAAAAATACTTAATATAAATAGTAAATATTTAATAAAACATTCTAAGAAAAATATTGGAAACCTTCTAACTCTGTCTGTTCATGAAGTCTCTACTATCTAAAGATTAATGTCAGGACAAAAACCACGACGCCTCTCAAAATCCTACTACTATATAGTAATAAAATGGAGTCCTCCGAAAGCAGGGAGGTCTCACCAAAAGCTGACGAGTAGATGAAGTAATCTCAACGTAATGCATGTTGATGATCCTAAATACCTGAATCTGCATCATAAAAAGATGCATGTCGAAGACATCAGTACGTTGAATGTACGAGTATGTAATATGGTTGAATAAAATAATAACTGAACTAATGACTGAATACATATCAAGTAAAACAATATATGAACAAGTAGTGAAAAACCATTTGTACTTTACAATAAGATATGCAATAAAAGCAATATGAGAATAGAAAACTTTACTCTGTGGAGAGTTTCTCTAACCGACAACTAACACTATGAGCCTAGCAATGATACAACGTTTCACCCATATTGCAAGGGTCATCATATACTTTGTCAGGGTATAGGATGCTAACTATAACTACGAAATTCATCCAATAAGCCTTCTTGAGGCAATGAGGAGTCGCCCAAAAAGTTGATGTGATCCTATCCTACGCTAGCTATGTAGTTTTATGGGCTTTGAGTGAAAAATAAACTCTTACCCAATTTGGTGCTCGATACTACTCCCAAAAACATCAATATCAATATGTTCAATAGTCCTATGAGAGAACTTTCTTTACTTTACTTTCACTTTGCTTTGCTGCAGTACCTTTCAGAAAATCAATTATACTCTTTCTCTTTATCAACTTTCAAATAGTAAATATGAAACCATTTTATTCTTTCTTTAAAAATTCCTTTCAAAGCATGCATTTAAAAGGTATACTTCTGGACTCATCTTTCAAGTCTGAAATCAATGTATAAGAAATCTCTTATAATAATCTCTATAAACATGACTACGAATTCAATATGCTTAATAGAAATCAAAATCTCAACACTTAAGGAATTATAACTCAGAATAAGAAACACAACTGAATTCGATTTTCAAGAGACTACAAATAAAACTCTGAACATAATATTTTAATGACTGAATTTAGATGTAGGGTGTAGGGAAGAACTTAGTCCATTAGTGTGAGTTGCCTTACATACCTGAAAGAACAAGGTTCTTGAAGAAAAACTTGCTTGGAAGCCTTAAAACCCTAGCTTTGGTATTTCTTGAAGTTCTAGAGCGTAGATGTTTTTGATAATGAGAGGGTTGAAATAATGAAAACTTATTGATTTTGGATTTTGGGAGAAATTAATAGTCATGGGCGGGGTTTTGGGATGAGGAAAAGACATAAACGCCATCCTAAAATGTGAAAGAAGAGAAAATTAAAAGAATTACAAAGTAACGCGCGTGATCGCGCAACTGAAGCTTAGTTCGCACGGCACTTCGCGCAACCTTAACGGTAACCTGACCTTGTCGCGCAATGAACGTCCACTTCGCGCGTCGATTTGCGCAGAACATGTAGTGCCCAAATAAATGGGCTCAACTTTTAGCACATAACTTAAATTGACGAACGATTAAAATGGTTGAAAGAAGACTTCAAGGCCTTTCATTTAGTTGGTATTAAGCCTCAAAACTCTTCATATGTTAGGAGGTATGATTGGTTGAAGATGACCCTTGAATGAACTTACACGGAAAAACTTAATCGTTAGGTAACCTTTTAACTCGACTTTATGCTAAATGCTCATTATGACCTTAACTCACATTCAAAACATTTATAATACTTAGGAATGGACCTTAACATATATAAACAAGTAGTATATTACCCGACCGAAGTTGACACACTAACGACAACAAATTCGGATTCTAAGAGTAGAATTGTGAGGTGTTACAGTAATGAATTCTAGATTTTTTTTTCTTCTTTGACTGTTTTTATTTTAACGCTAATATGGAACAATTTCGCATACGATTTTGACAAATATAATGTATTTATTGATGTTTTTAAATTCGATTCTTATTTAGTTTGTTGAACTTATGGATAGTAGTTTTAATTAAATGTTGAGATATTTTTGAATATTTTAATCGAAAGAGGAGATGTACTATAAAATATTTGTATATAAATCTGATTTAGCTCAATTAGGATAATACTTTGTACAACTAGAATTCACATTTTCGAAAAAAGGACTCCTTTTTTATAATATGTTAATATTAAGTTGTCAAAATTGAAACATGATACAATAAGAAGAGAAAAAAACACCCTACAATAGAAACTTTTTGTTTGTCTTTCCTCTTTCAATTTGTTGACAAAATACTCTCATGGAGCTTTTCTAGAAAGGAAAAAACATTACATGGAGAAGGGAAGGGAAAGAAAAGAGATCATACAAATCAAAAGATAAACACTGGCATTAATAGACTATAAAACAATGTACATGTCAAGTAATCCATTCTAAGTATAGATGCTAATCAACAATTACAAATAAGAAATTTGAGGCCAAAAAAAAAAATCACTCAACAATCTACATGTCTTAGTTTTTACAAGTACATAGATCAACCATAGCACTTAAAGCATTCAAATCACAAATTTTTAATTATGAAAAATGTTGTCTTACAAAGCAAAAGGGAAAGAAGAACACTTTTTTTTTGTTTCCCAGCCAGTGTACGGACAAGTCTAGATTAAATCTGAATTGCGCATTCGGGGGTGGCGCTCCAACAGGAAAGAAGAACTTAATCAACAAAGTTCTGTTCTTGGTTTCTTCCTAACAGAAATGCAACCTCTTTGATGATCTCTAAATATTTTAAGCTCAGAACAATCCCTCAAATCTTCAAGACTTATGTATTGTTGTTTCACCATTCTTGAAAAATCACAACCAGTATCATTAATCCAAATATAAGGGTGGCAAGATTCATCATAATAATAAAGTAAACTCTTAACTCCACCTTTATAATAATTATTATTACTAGGCATATAAGCCTTGTAAATTTTCTTGGAATTTAGCCTCTTTGATGATCCTGGTTTCAATGTATGAACTTTCTTCAAGATTGAACCAACCCTTATTTGCAATTCAATTGATTTATCACTAAAATTCCAAATCCTTGTTCCAAAACTAGAGACTTGAGCTTGATCTTTGCACCCATTGAAGCATTTCACTAAAGACACAAGGCTAAAATTACCACCACTCTCCATTTCATTATGTGCAACAAGTTGAGTCTTTTTTTGGTCACCAAGGCTAGCTTTTTAAAGGGTCTAGATAAAGCAAATAGTCATCATATATTTAGTGTAACTTTCAGCCAATTGCTATATATTCCAAACTTTGCCTACTAATTGATTCTGATATTCTTGGATTTGTGGGCCATTGAAAATGTAGTAACTCTTTGGTTAGGGAGTGAGAGAAATTAAGTTTATTAGCTGTGAGACTATGACATGATTTTAAAGAGTGACATGATTTATATATATAATATATGATATTTATTAAAGACATCTATATTTTACGGTGATTATGATAAAACTAATAGTGTAAATTGTTAACCATTTAATGTTGTGCTAATAGAATAATTATAATTATGCTAGGAGGAAAAAAAGGTATTTGTGGGAATATCTCTGCTGACGAACTATTCAGTAGTACGGATTTTTTCGTCATTAATGATTTCAACATCTATGATTGAGTTGCCAACTTTTTTGGATTGAGTAAAATGAAGCAAATTCGGTTGAGGTTCGTGAGCTTGTCAACCATTTCTACATCCGGAATGGAGGGTTGCTTTGGTTTGAAGCTATTCCCATTAGGTTGCTTTCTCCGAGGAAGGTGTTTAAAAGACATTAGTGGACTTAAAAGAGTTAGCTTGCTCAAAGAAGCTTAACTAGAAAGCAGATCAGGTCTTACGCAACCTTAGATTATCCATCATCTTTTCTTTATTTGTATCACCAAAACACCGAAAGGCCGTCTTTATGTACCTCCGGAGCCCTGGCCCATTCAGGAAAAATAAGTTGGGAAAAGACTAGCAAATTTCTTAGGCTAATAGAGTAGGTGGTTGTAAATTTACTACTAGTTATAATTAAGTTTATTAGCTGTGAGACTATGACATATTATTTTCTATTAAGGAGTGACATAATTTATATAAAATATGATATTTCATAAAGACACCTGTATCTTTCAGTGATTAAGAAGTGCCTCCTAAAACTTTAAAAAAAATTAAACAACATTTAAGTAGTATGATAGGCTTATTAGGATGATATAGTGTAGGCCAAAAATCTTAAGGTGTTTGAAGGGGATTTAAGAAAAATGTCCATTTTCTTGACAACAATGTCCAATCTTCATTTCTAAGGTACCACATAATTTGGACTATAACAAGATAAAAGCAACTTTCTTGGGGTCAGAAAAGCAAGAATTGTTTAATAGTGAATTATGGATTAGGCTTCAAATAATTTTGCTTTATCTGTCATGATTATGCTTGTGCTTTTTTAATCTTTTTTTAACTTTAATAATTATAATTTCTAACAAGAGCACCTTTAGCCTCTTTCTGGTGAAACTTCAGCGGCAGGCAAAGAATTCAGAATTGCCAATTCTTTTTTTAAGATATTGGAACTTGACTTGACTGTGGTCCTGACCCACCAGCCATTTGGTGAAAAGTACTACTAAATATTAGGCCACACCAAAAACTTTAGTGCCCTTGTTATGATGTTTGTTGATATACAAAGAGGAAAAATATTGTAGTGCTAGTAGTTAAAAGTATCTTCTTGTGTTCCCACATGGTTCTATTGATAAAATGTAACATGCCTAGTGCAAGAACATGAACTGCTTTTTTGAAATTCATATGTTATTGTTCCCAAGTAAGGAGATAAAGGTTCTATCGTTAACTTCGTGTGATACTTAGGCAAAGTTGAGTGAGTGATCCTTTCTCGTTACAAAAAATAGTTTAGACTTTCGTGAAATAAAGTAAAAGTTGAATGACCATCCATCCAGAATGAAACGAACCAATTCAAGGCCAACCATAGTTGCCTTCACCAGTTGCTCACTCTATGGATCCAAAAGTAACTTGGTAAGACATTGCATAAGTTTCAGTTCCAATAAAATGACTGTCACAAACAGATGCACAACTGAGTTTAAAGTTCAACTAGTTGTCTTAGTTTTCTCTTGAGAATATAAGGAGCAAGTGCTTTATCAAGTCCAATCCAAGAACATGATAAAGGGTTCTTATGGGTTTGAGAAGTAGACTAAGGGTACGCGTAAAGGAAGAAAATTATTTCCCGGGGTTTATTACACTGGTGGTAATGGTAATCCAAGACTTGTAGATTTGAAGTAGCCCCAAAAAGAAACTAAAAAATTCAATTTTTGTCCAAACTACGTCCATTTGTATGATCTGCCTGTACAAATGAAGACTATGAAAAAGCTTCTTCACCAAAGGGATGTCAAAATCATCAATAAGAAATGATACCTATAGCCATAGCGCAAGTATGAAATTTACAAAATACCAGTCCTATTTTTCATGATTGTCTTGAGCAGAATCTATCTTTATTATAAGGGGCTGGTCGAGACGTGCAGCTGAATCAGCCACAGTTGGTAGCTCTGGTATTGACAATATGTCATCAATGTCTTCATTTTCAGCCAGTGCTTTTTCTAAAGCGGCCTTTGCAACTCTTGTCACACAAATAATCAGAAACACTGCAATACACACAACCAAGGTGGTGGTTATTTGAAATCCTACGTTCAAATGTGTTGGCATTTCATCAGAGATGCAACATAGCTTAATCCTAACATCATTTGCAGATAATTTACGCATGTAATACTCAAATACATGTTAATATTCCAAGAGACTTTCACAATGAAACAAGCTGGGGGGAGCAGCAAAAAATGCTTGGTGAGAAAAAAAAATTCCATTCATGAGAAGGATGAATACTTTTAGAATTGCTAGACTAAAGATCGCTCTATACTAACAACATCATTCTCATAATAAAAGCAAAGTTATACACAGGTAATACTAAAGTATATAACTACATATTAATATTTCAAGAGATGTTCACAATGGAAAAGCTGGAGGGAGCAAATGATGTTTGGTGTGAAAAGATTTGCAGTTCATGAGACGGATGAATACTTTTAGAAAAGCTGGTAAGGTAGTTACATATAGCACTTTAGCTTCTCCTCTTCTACTTCTTGAAGTCTTATCAAAGAATCTATGGCCCTGCCCAGACCCCACTTGTGGGAATACACCGGCTACACTGAAAGCTTTTTATTTATTTATTTTGCAACTTCTAAGTTCTTCTCCGTCTCCCTTTTTCTGATTGTTAAAGGTAAGTATATTAACTTCAACAATAAGAGAATGCTGAAAAATAGGTACAAGAGGAGGCTACATTACAAATTGTGTAATGAGCTCAACAAGTCGATCATGGCATTTATGTCATTTGCAATAGCAGCCATGTAGCACCCAAAAAAAAGAAAGAAGAGAAGATATACATCTTTGCCAAATAGAGACTGAAGAAAGCATCTATTTACAAGGGTCGGAGACCCATAACCCTTTCTTATTATTAGTATAAGATAGCTTGTCTTGGCTCCGCACCATGCATCATTCCAATCCGGTTTTCATGAATATGGAACTCCATTCACTATATTTTGCATTGTTGATAGTTATGTATAGTAAATTTTTTTGGATAAATAGTTATGCATAGCATATACTTGATTGTTGGCCTATGTTTGAGAAAATTAGGTTATCAAAATGCCAGCAGGGGTATGCTCAAGTTTTAAGAGAGCTATAAGTCAAGGTCTTACGCATTTCCCCAATTAATTCTATTCGAGTCAAATACAAGTTACATTATAATGCCAGCATTCAAATTAAAGAGCCGCTTAGAAAAAATTGACTGGTGATTTTCGCTTTCTAACAACATATGAACATCTTGAGAAAATATTAAATATTTGCAGCAATTTCACATGTAGAAATCTTTTCTGATCAATAACAAAAAATTAATGCAATTTATTAGTATTAGAGACTCACCAGACACCAAAAGCCCCAATATTATCATAGCCTGGCCACACAGAAAACAAAAAGAAAAAAGGATTGTCAAAAATTCAAATAGAACAAACAACGAGAAGGATTGATTTAATACAATCATTCATTTTATTGGATAAGAAGTCCACAGCAAAGTAGGGCTAGAATGATTACTAGGGCTGTCAAATTAGTGGGTTGGGCTAAATTTGCACAAGTAGAAATGATTACCAACTTATGAATATTTTATCAATAGTTGCCAACAAAGCACTTGGTTTTGGCATTTGTGATCTTCTATCTTTTTGGTGATCAAGTAAATATTGCCATTTATGTGACCTATTTATTCATTTTGAAAAAATAAAACATCACCCACTAAAAAATTAGTAACTATAGGTTAGAGTTCAATTAGTGAGGTATCATTATGTTAAGCTGAACATATATTATTCCACATACTGGTTGCATTCATATGAAATTTAAAATTGGTGAATATTGCGACGAGTGTAGTGCGACATCCATATGCAAGAAACTATTAGGACAAATTCAATTTTAGAAATACTGAACAATGAATGAAATAAAGAAATCCAAAAATAAAGGCAAAATATATTATTTGAATAAACACTACGAATGTAGAAAATGTACACTTATTGCTCACTTGAAGCTCAGAACTGCTTGTCTTTTGTAAAATAAAACCTAAAAATGGCAACAAAGCCAAGCTAAGTCATTTCAGTGGAGGACAGTTCCACAGTCCATACTAACCCAATCCATGCAAGTTTCGCCAATTTGACTGGGTGTCAAAGCTGAGGCTACAAATAATAGATCCCATGTATAAGTATGACAATTAGCCATTCTCTGTAACTGTCATGACTTGATCCATTTTGTCGGTGCAACATTTCAACAACTACTGCTGTGACACAACCTCAAGTTGAGGGCGGCTTTGAGAATCCTCAATGTCATAAATGCTCTATTTGGGTTGATAATGTATTTCAATATTCCATACTTAAGGATTATATTTCTAATATACTCCAGTGATTACATCTTTAATATACTAAGGGGTCATTTGGCTACAGGGATTACGGGGTTATCCCAGTATAAAATTTGGGAGTAAATTTATCAGTGTTTGGTTGTAGCCTGTAGGTATTAGAGAAAATCAGGATAAGATTCCTCATTCCTACCAAAATCATGGTATTATCTACCCACATGGAAGGTGGGATTATCTGTCATGGTTATAATCCCAGGATAATCTTGTTTTGAATCAAACAACCCCAAAGAGCCTTTCAAGTAAGCACTACCTTCTAATTGGTATCAGATATACAGATTTTCAATTTTCAATGTTTTCTATCTTTTGCTAGATCTGCCTCGATTCCAACATGTTCTAAATCTATTGAGATAACTTTTTTCCATGTAATTTTAGGTCTACATTTTCCTCTTTTAGCACCTTCAAACACCATGTTCAAGGACTATGTAACACATGGTCAAAGCGACATCTCTTATTTTATCCTTTATACACGCTACTTGCACCTTCTAACAGATGTGATCATTTATGATTTTATCTACTCTTGTAGGAGCATACATCCATCTTAACATTTGCATTTCTAGACACTCCTCTTGTGGATATATTGGGCTTTAGAAGCCTAACATTCACTTAAATTCACTCTTGTGGCACTCGTCCATTTCAACCATCCTACATTAATCCAATGTGAACATCAATCTATCATTCCATTCTCCTGGATTATTGAGCCTATATCTAAATTGCCTATATTTAGGCACCTGAACCTCAAGTTCATCTAATCTGACATTTAACTTCACTCCTATCTCACTGTCTAAACTTCTCATGCATGTATTGTCTTACTCCTACCAGTGTTGTTAAAAGTCATTGCTTCGTTGCTTAGGGGGATGATGCAATGTGAAGCGAGGCATTGGGGCTTTATAGGTGAAGTCATGTGCTTCAGATAGGCAGACCTTCAAGCAATGACGTGCAAGGTGATGGTGATCCAAACAAGAAACGGTCAGTTATTTGAATTGCAACTTTGAGAAGTTAGAACTAATATTGACACATATATTGGATGCTAAAATTAGTTATTTCACTTGCAAATTCATTATTATTATATGTTTGATATTTTTAATATTTGATAAGTCGTCCGCTTCACTTCAAAGAAGTGTGCGCTTTATACTTCTCACTTTTTGCTTTAAGAATCATGAGCCTCTTTGTTTTTTCGCACTTTTCACTTTTAAAACACTGACTTTTGTTTATCTTAAAACTCTTACTCTCTAAAGTACTTCTCTATAGCTCGAGCCTATGATTGACACCCTCATCAATTTCATCAATTAACACAATATCATCTGCAAAGAGCATGCTTCATGGTATCTCATCCTGTTGGTTAATATGTCCATAACAAGCACAAATAGGTACGGGCTTAACGTAGAGCCCTGGTGCAAACCCATGGTAAGGGGAACTCCTCTGTTCCTACCACTGTTCTCACATCTGTAACAGCTCCTTCATACATATCCTTTATGATATTCATATATTTGATATGAATTCTTTTCTTTTCCATTACCAACCAAAGGACATTTCTTGGGAGTTGGGACTCTATCATATGCGTTCTGTAAGTCGACGAAATATCATGTTTAGATTCTTTTTCTTCTTATAATTTTCCATCAATCTTCTTAGTAAAAATATAGCCTCTATTGTAGACCAATCAAACATAAAACAAAATAGGTTCTCTGTTCGACATTTATATTTTATATTCTTCCTTTTCCTCTGTGTGTGTGTGTGTGGGGGGAGGGGGATTTGGAATAACTGGATTAAAAGGAAGTTGACTTGTCCAACATTTTGATTTAGTTTTCACATAATGATGATTCCTCCCATACATCTTGATTGGCTTACTTTCTACACAGAGCAGCCCACAAGGCAAAGTTATGATCTTGAATACTAAAAATATCAACAATCAATCAACTATGTCTATCAAACTAGTAGGGGACGGATATATGAATCCTCTATCTCTATTCCCGGCAATTTGGACAAATCGTCCAATATATTTAGTGCTCTTTCGAACTAGAGATTCTCCAAAACTAGACAGAATCTTGACAAATATCAAACTTAAATAAGATGAAGTCTTAATCACACAGAGTTGTTTTATCCTTCATATGGACCCTTTACTTTCATTTGTTCTGTTCTTAGCTAAAATTGCATGTAATCCTGGAGAAGACAGCTTTATTTCATATGATTTTGTCTATTTCATCCCATTTTAGCACAACAATCATCAGTGTCATGCCTACAGATACCGTCTGTGTGTGCTACTTTTTTTTGAGAAAAAATCTGTGTTCTACTTTTTTTTGAGAAAAAATCTGTGTGCGTGTGCTACTTGCACTCAACTAAATGTGATTAATTTCTAAGTTTGTCTAATCTTGTACTTACTCCGTTCACTTTTACTTGTCAATTATACTAAAAATAAAATTCACTTTTACTTGTCCACTTTAGCATATCAAGAAAAAGACAATTTTATTTTTCCTATTTTACCCTTAACATTAACTACTCATTCCCCAAATTATTTTTCCAAATCCATTGAAACTATATAACATTAATATGGGTATTATGGTAAAATGTGCTATTTATTTATTATTTCTTAAGGGGAGTGCTGCAAAAGCCATCGTGGACAAGCAAAAGTGAACGGAGGGATTATAAGTGTATCCAGCTTAACATTTATATCTCTACGACAACCATCAAATTACTGTAATAGAATACTTATTTTCTATGACCACGAAATCTGTCTAGGGCCAACCTTAGGACCAATGCAGCCTTGGAAACTCGTGGATAATGGGTCCGCCCTCTACACTTCTCCACTTACATATTAGCATAGTTTCATATGGCGCAGGGCTCAAACCTGTGACTAAGTCACAAGTTCCCCAAATCTTTGCCATTTGAACTAAGCTCTAGGGTCAGTACCATAATAGAATACTTATTCATTCCCAATGAAATACTGTAAATTCATAGTTCACCACAACAACAATGAACTTTCAGTTTTTCATTTATCTAATGCAGCTTGTCTCTTTTAATTTCTCAACAAGGAAAAAGTGGTTGTGGGCCCTACATATTCCCCTAATACAAAAGATCAACTCTCATCTCAATGATTGTGCAAAACGTTCAATTAAGAATGAATTGCCTGAATGCATCGTTGACTTTACATTATCTAATGTTACCAAGTACATAGATCACTTCGGTTAGTGGAACAGTAACAAGTTTCTTAGCTTAACTACCCTCTTTTAATTTTCCGTTTATTAGCAAGCATTCATTAGTTCATCAATAACCGTATAAAATTAAAATCTTATGTCTCTGTTTAACATCCTGAAAATAGTCACGTTGTACTCAATTTTCACTCTTCCAGCAAGATATGGTATGTTGAGAGTGTTATCTCATCAGTTATTAGTTAGATAGGCAAAACATATCACATCCATGCAGTGAAATTTTTTGGAAGCTACTTCATAAATGAGTCAATGGCATGTTGTGATTTGTTTACATATCTGACTTCATTTTTACTATTCCTTGCCCTCAAAAAGTTTTTTTTCCCAGCTTGTGTGCACCACCAACTTACGAGATGCCTTGTTAACTCCCCACTAACACAGGTACTGAGTCACTCTATGCACCAAGACTTAGGTGGATAGGAATAATTCACCTAGTTCACCTCTACTAGGATTTCAACCTTGGGTCCAAGATTGTCACTCCAACTCTTAGATTGATAGCACACCCTTGGGGGGTTCCTTGCCCTCCAAAGTTCTTCCAGGAGTGGAAGTAAAAGAAAAGCCCACAATTCGTCACATTAACTAGTTATTTGTCCTACATGCCTGTACAATACTACTATTCAGTTTGAAGCACAAAAGACCATTTGCCAATGTGTGACATGACTTAAATTACTATCAGATTAGCATAAGATTTGTTAAATGTATTTAGCACAGGCATTCACTTAGTTCTTACCCAGCGAGATTTTGAAAATTCACCCCATCCATGAGTAACATCAGAAAGATCTTTCAAAGTTGTGCCGACATACACCAGGGCAAAAGTTATTGGCTGCAATAGGGAAAGAAATAGATTCATCAATAATAACAACAACAACAACAAATCCAATGAATCCTGCAAGTGGCGTCTAAGTTGGGTAGTGAAATCATCAATAATAAATATTAATATGATAAAAAATATAGAAATCATAACTAAGGATCATTTTTCTAACACATCAATCAATAAGCAAAGAAACATGGATGGCGAAGGATGTCTGGGTGGAATTCCAAGGGTTATTGAAAAGATCAAGGCATGCAGATGATCCTAATATACCACAATGGCTTCTTGGTCAGGGTCATTTCACATGGATAGCACCAGTAGCAAGTCAACCACATAAATCAATAGAAATCTCTCTTCCAAGAGGAAGGATCAAGAATTTTATTTTGTCCCAGCATATTTATAAAGGGGTTGGACAGAGTCGCCCCAGATCAAACCTGGCACATATGCATGAGCTTACCAAAAATCCCTTTATATCATAGTCAAATTTGCTAATATCCCATTCTACATGCGTTGTTACAGGTCCCCCCGATTAGGTTTATGGTAACTGTTTTGCTTGGTCTCTCTAAATCTGGAGCTACATAAATGCTTTTAAACAACTTTATTGAATTTATGAGTAGGGCAGGGATGGAATGAGGTTGCTAACTACATTCCAGTAACATTTTTGACATTGCATTCGAGAAACCACACATCTGCAACTCCAAAAAACAGAGCTCAGGTTATTCTTTGACTACTACAGTGAAGCTACAGTGCCATCTACTTTTACAAGGATATCAAAATATTTCTTCAGATTCCATCATAAAAACACCTTCACCAAACACAATGACCATATCTATGTCACATGGCAAGCCATGAGAGTGATTTTGACCTGAGGAAACTTGGAAGGGAGGGGGAAGAGAGATAGATAGATGAGCTCAGAAAATTCTCTGCCTACAACAGTGAAGTAAGAAATAGCATTTACTTTTACAAGGATAAGAAAACAGTTCTCTAAATCTCATTGTAAAAACACCTCAACCACAGTCTAGGGCCATATCTATGTCGCATGGCAAGTAAAAAGAGTGATTTTGACCTAGAGGCAACTGGGAAAAGAAAAGAGGGGGGGAGGGGACCATGACCATATCGATGTCACATGGCAAACCATGAGAGCAATTTGACCCAGAATTTTGATGACAGATAGATAGAAAGAGTGAGACTTACCATCATTCCCAACCATGAAGCCAGCATGTATTCCCAAATTGAAACTGGTGTCACTGATAACAGGTAGTTCAGCATATTAAACGGAAGCAGAGGAACAAGTCGGAGCAGCAAAACAATCTGTCAAATCAGAGTAAATCAATGTGCAGGGTTACTTCTGCTCTTTTTGGAAATTAATATCCATATTACTGACACACTTCTAAGCCGAAACGACAACTTGAAGATGACATGATTATGAAAAGGGCCTTTTCGGGGCCTTTCAAGAAAGACATATGAACCTTAAAGCCAGATTTCCGAATTGCAATTGCAACTGCACGAAACTGTGGATAATCTTTCAATTTGGAAATGACAAATGACCTCCCAATCTGTCAAAATGTCAGTGAAAGAACAACAATTAACGAAAATAATCAGTTCACAAACAAACGTCTTAGGGGTATGGCACAAGAATATATAAACAGAAAGGAAAATGAAGGAAAAAGTAACAAAAAGTATGCCCTATCCATACACAAATTGTACATGGAAGACCATATCCTGAATAAAAAGTTATCCAAAATGACAAATCTACAGACTTGTACCTCAGGTAATCCAGTTTTTGTAATATGACTAGAGTACCAATCAGAGCTCAGGGAAGTGGACTATGGAAGAAATCGTTGTTGTTCTAACTTCTAAGCAATACTTCAAGTGAAATACATTTTTAACTGCTCAACAAAGTATCCCCTCTCTAGAATGAAAGAACTTACTGTTCTACCAAGAAGAAATGCTGCGGCAGCACCAATGGTAGCACCAATAGAATCAGCAACAAAACCCACAGGCAGGCCAAATAGATAACCACCACCTAGCTGAAAACAGGAACCATGCAGAGTTCAATTCAATCATAAGTCTGATAAATATGTGCTATAAAAGAATCTTGAACAGCTGTATTAAAAAAATGGTGGTTAGGACTTAGGAGGGAGACGTGACTTAAACAACAAACGCCACAAGTTTTACCGTAAGAACTGATGCAGGAACTGCCAATACTGTAAGAGGAATGTATGCAACAGCCCTGCAAGACACAGAAAACAACATGACCAAAAGCACATCAGCATAAATCTCCAGTGTTGATTGCGCAATCTTAAAGCAAGGAATTTTATTTCACCAATTTGAGGAAAACCCCTTGTAGAATAATTCTTTTTCATTAAATTAAGGGAAAACCCTTGTACAATACATCAACAACATACCCTGTGTATTCCCACAAGTGAGGTTTGAGAGGATAGAATGTACGCAGACCTTACCCCAACCTTGGGAGGTAGAGAGGTTGTTTCCGACAGACCATCGGCTCAAGAAAAATAAATTCAAAGCAGATCGGAAAAGAAACCTTGTATAATACAACATAAGGATATTCTACATAAAAGCAATGCTTAGACATATATTCAGCAGTCACCGATAAAAGTAGGAACCCCTGAAAATATCAGGGATAATAGAAAGAACTTGAATTGGATTGATGAGTTCTCTCACCTTTCAGGTGAAGATAATCACAGTAATCATGCTTCTAATTAGAACAAGAACTGACACACATCCAAATTTTACAAGGCTTATCTCTGGATTAAACTTCCATGAAGATATATAGTAATTCCTTTTTTTTTTCTTTTCGGAGATACCCACAAACATGCCGGCAGGGTTGCACGAAAAAATAACTCCCAGATGGTACCCATCAATAAGAACAATGTCTAACATATTCCCATGTTTTTACTCCAAGCACTCACATTTCACAGTGTGTACAGAGAAAAGGAGAAGTGAGGAGCTTAAGCAGCATAAACATGAACAACAGTCACCCTTTAACTCAAGAGCCAAATGGATGAAAGAACAACAACATAAAGGGATGAGCATTGAAAGAGCAAAAATGAACTTCTATAATGTCTAAACAAGGACAGGCTTCAGGTTAATATGGAAACTGTGAGAAATATTGGAAAAGAATATTATTGAATTGTTGTTGTTTACATTATTACATTGAGACCTTATTTATAGACCCTAGAATACAATCCTTTACCAAGTAGGATACTATTTAGTATTCCTATTTCTATTTCTATTCCTATTCCTGTTCTAATAGGATTGTATAAACTTATTCCTATTCTAATAGGATTGTATAAACCTATTCCTATTCTAATAGGATTGGATAAACCTATTCCTATTCTAACACTCCCCCTCAAGCTAGTGCATACAATTCATGTACCTAGCTTGTTACAAATGTAATTAACACGAGGACCGATGAGGGGCTTGGTGAGATATCTGCAAGTTGATCACTCGACTTCACAAATTTGACAATCAATCTCAATGGGCTTGGTCTTCTCATGAAATACTGAATTTGATGCATAATGCTGATAAAACAGAGAGTGATAAAATTACAGTGTTGAACTTCCCAAACCAAGCTTGCAAAGACTGTTTCAGACCATAGAGTGACTTACGTAATCAACATACAAGGCTACTAAACTCCCCCTGAGCAACAAAATTAGGTGGTTGCTCCATATAGACTTCTTCACAATGCAACGGTCGCCGAAAGTGCTCAAAATCTAGTATAAAGTGTATGGACAAGATGTTTGGTGAATAATTCCTTGGTGAGACATAAACTCCTGAAACTGGGATGATAAGTATTCTAACGCATTATCACTACGAAAAGTACGAATAGAAACACCAAACTGATTTTGTATTTCAGCAAAGAAACTTTTGAATATAGAA